TTTAGTTCTAAATATGAGCAAGTTGTTCATCGGCGAGGAATATTTCCTTAGTTTGGCCCATCATTTCATGTTTGACTTTTCCTTCGTAGGTCTGTATTAGATGGGAGTCCATTCAGCTATTTCGGTGTGTCAGTTTGTGTCCATGAATCGCACTACTAGTTGTTTGTGGTGCCTCAGACGTGTGTTGCGAGTCTGTGTTGGCTTTAATGAATGCGTGTACTTTCATTCCCTTCGTGTATTTATCATAAAGATATTGAACAGAATTGGATTTCCATTTCTAGGTGCCATGTTTACGGTCGTCTATCCCAAGTAATCGGGTTATAAAATTTCACATCGACTGTCCCGCCCCAGAAGGGCTTCTTGTTCGAATAGCCGCACTGGTTGATACGTTTACTAGTTTTTTTCACAGGGTACTCTGACGCACAATGAAGACCGGCGGTGCGATGAGTGCGGCTCTCTCTCTGACGTCCATGCTCGATCTGTTCCGTGACAGTGTACGCCGTTATACAAGGATGGATTTGTACCATCTTCCCAACTCGGTCTTAAGACCGAAGTGATTACTCCTGGGAGTTGGCTTCGTTCTCTTACTCAGTCGTCCGTACAGCACAAGAGAGCGGTTAATCTAATGTTGTCAGTAGATTAAAACTTGGGTTCTCTTATGCTCACTGGTAGTTCGTCTGGGTTACGTTGTCAGTTACGGTGAGACTCAACTGAGCCAAGAGGTGGCTATAAACGAGTAGTGATTTAATGAAAAATGCACGGTTTAGGTCAAGGAAGTTGTTCAGTTATCAGAGACGAGAGTCTTTCACCTTTTTGATTTTGTGTGCCGCGGGAATATTGGGGATCACGACTGCGACTGGCACGTTGTGCAGCACAGTCACTTCGATCCCTCCCTCATATGCTGTGGTCTGTTGTCTTGATACATTAATGTAGCCGTACGAAGTGGTTGTGCCATTAAATCCTCAGTTTTCCCATCCTAGTTGGGAACGTCTTATTCACTGTGCACATGGTGGTCTCGGGTAGGTATTTGAGCTAGAGGAAAAAGCTGTTTTGTTTGTGTCTTGGTAATGAAAGAAATGCTCAGTTGTGATGTGTGGTATTGTTTTCCAGTGGCATTTGTGGACCCTATTCATCGATTGAACGTGGCCGGGTGCTATCGTCCATATACGGAGGTGAAGTCAAGTCAAAAACAAAACTGTTATCGTATCATTCACGTGGTAGGTAGTTTTGCTGCTTTCCCCACGGTGAAGGTTCTCTAGGCGCCGAAATTCTCGCCACCACGCTCGTGCCCATGTATTTCGCGGGATAACGGTGGTTTTAAAGTGTGATACTGACGTCACTACTCGCTTTCGTAAAGAAGGCGAAAATGAGCGATGGAGCAATGCGTGCTCTTGCTTGATAATCTACCCCAAATCAGATATCCTGACGGTGATGCCCGGTGACGAGAGCTGCTTTGCAGTTTGCGTTGCTGTTTTCCGCACTTTGCTTGCTAGGAGCTTTTGGAACACTCAGATCTTTGAGTTGTCTGTCCTGTGATCTACCTCGAAATATGTAATGCTTCTAGTGCGCTGTTTTTTTCCGATAACAAAGTAGTACTTCATAAGTATTGGAGAATTGGATTCGTGACCAAGCAGACTAACTACATCGGGTGTGTCGGATCTCGACGGTATATTTGCTTGTGACCGATTGGGAAGAAAGGGCTCTTATCCGGCAAGGGTAAGATTAATGTCTGCCTAGTTCTCGGGCTGAATGGATGCAATCAAAGGGTTGAGTTGGAAATGGATGTGCGAGCCTTGTTGGTTCCGATAAGTGTGTCATAGTTATGTAACCAGTTCCCGAGAGTTCTCAATTTTGCAGGAGTTGTTGATAACTGAATCTATGCTGCTGCCGGCATCGCTAGGGTTCGATGAAAGGATGGCTACAAGTCTCGGCCTTCTGTGTATAACGGGAAGCCTCTAGAAAAGCGTCCAATTTGCCTTTGCTGTGTTTTGTACTCTTGACCAGATAGCCCAGCAGTTTGTCCTGGCTACGATTCTAGCATGCGATCAAAGCCTGTTCCCGAATCTTATGGACTTCAGATTGAAAATGTAACCCATTTTGGCTAACTGCCTAAATTTCCGTCGAACTGAAAAGGGAGGGGTATCCTTAAGATAAGGTTTTCGTGAGATCGCTTTCTCTTTTCACTTTTACTAACTGGTGGCCGTAATATGGAAATAAATTTCTCTGGCACACTCGAGGAAGATGTGGCACGGTTGATAGAATCAGTGGCTGCATTTGGATCAATCACGATAGAAATTGCGAGTCTACGAGGGGCATGACTCTCAGGCAACATTCACCTTCAACACATTCGACAAGCGACTGAGTCAGAAGTGTGCCAAACAAACCACAGTACAACAACCTTGTGAATAAGGAGGCGTGTGATTTGTAGTGGGCGGAGTACTCCTGGGCTCCTCATTCCATAGCAAGTCAATTTTCTTGGAAGTTTATGACAGGAATCTTTGATTAGCCAAAGTTTGAACACAAGATGGTGATGGTGTGTTAAATACGCAAACTGTTGCTGTGCTTTTGTCCAATTTGTAGGACCTGTGAAACTACTTCTGGCTGACATTCCCGGCAGAGTATCAGGGTTGTCAAATCTGCTTTCGCGCAGACGAAAATGAACATAGGATACAGAGGATACAGTTGTCGAAGCATTGTGAAATGACTAACGGAGCATTCGAGTACAACAATATGCACGGTAGCTTGGCGCAAGCCGTATGTTCTGGTACCTCATCAAACATTTCGTGCTCGAGGTTAAATAGGGCGCCAACAGATTTGCGAACACCTGGTCATAATTTATATAGTTGGATGATATACATATTGATAACTAATCTTATAATAAATGAGTCATAGAAAAAAATAGCTTTTCGAGTATGATTTTTGAAAAGGCTATCGATTGTTTGTCTGGACTGCACACTTTTGGCGGTTTTACGGCAGCATGGTTGCGGCGAAGGTAAGATCTCCGTGGTTAACTCCCACCCAGCCTATGAAGAAGAAAATCCAGAAAGTCCCTGGAAAGAAGAAGCAGCAGCTGAAATTCACAATCGGCTGCGCACCAAGGGTTATCGATGAAGATATCGTCAGCTTCCATTCATTTGTAAGTTTACTGGGACTCCGCGTGGCAAGTCTGACTTGCCCAGATTAGGGCCCTCTTCCCTAGTCACGCGTCTGTTTAACGCTTGTGTTGTAGGAGGGTTACTTGAAAGAGCGTATAAAAGTTAACGGGAAGTTGAATAACTTCGGAAAAGATGTGCATGTGGAACGTGACGACAATACTATCATCGTGACATCGAATGTTCCCTTTTCCAAACGGTATGAGTGGTATCTCCAATCGATTTTTTTT